CATACAAACATACATACAGGTTAAACACTAACCTAACCTCCTTTTACATTGCAAGTGACGACAATTATATGTATGAACTGCACAAGTAACTTTGTAATCCCATATATCGCATATCTATTTGTATAGAATTACAAAGTTACTGATGCAGTTTGTTGTATATCTCGAAAACAGGATTGAAATTGCGTGATGTTTGAATTTTTCCTTGGGTTATAGAGTAAACATGAATTGTGTTCAAAATTTGAAGCTTCTATGTCTGCTAGAAGTACCTTAGAATTTTGATGATCGGTGAGTGAGTGACGATATTAACGAATTTTGATCTGCAACAGTTCATAAACTACTGGTTCAAATTGAATGTAATTTGGAAATGTACCTAGTTTTATTATGTTCTCTTAGTCACTCAAAATTCAAGCTTCTAGCTTTATCCATAACGAAGTTATGGGGGGGGTGGAAAATGCTCTGAATCCCTTCGAGAAAAGGATGGTACTGCCGTGCCCTTTTTTGCTCGACTTGTTTGCTCGACTTGGCGGGGGCACTGCCGTGCCCCCCGATTTTAAATCTACGTTACTTTTATTCTAAACCGTCAAATGCAATTTTTGTTGTATTATTAGATGTCAAAAATGTTCTATTTTGTTTTTATAATGGCATAATAATTCAAATAGAAAGCATTTAGGTTATATTCCAATAAAGGATTAAAAAATGTATTTGGGGCAAGATGATTAGGTTGTTGGTGTACGAGATGATCCGTGCGGATCATCTTGCACCTAACACATTGTTTATTTTACTGACTTTTACTTATCTATTACACAGAAGTATTTTTTTATTGTTTTAGAATATGCCGCGTAATAATAGAAGAAAAACGAATCGTGACGGGTGGTTGGAAGACTCTATGATTAAAGCACTGGATGCTGTAAAACGTAAAAGAAGAAAAGGTAAAGAAGTATCCAATAAGAGGATGAAAACTTCTTATATCCTCGAGTCTGAGCCATCTGAAGAATAAGAAGATACAGAATGTCTACTTTGCACGGAAACATTTTCCAAGCATAACATGGGTGAATTATGGATAAAATGTTGTGAATGTCAAAAATAGGGTCATCTTGTGCAGGGATAGATAGTGATGATCCTGATGAATTTACTTGTGATTTGTGTGTAAGAACACCAGGAAAAAAGCGTTTAGAATTTTATCTAAACTAACCTACTAAGCTAAAAAGTTTTTGAGCTCAATATTAATATGAAGAACTATTGACTTAATTTTGTCCTAAGTACTAATTTTTAAAAGATTTTATACTTTTATGTTGATTATGGAGAGATTTATTAATTAATTTGTTTAAAATGCTTAATATTATCGATCTTATGCTGTGATGATTGTTATCCGTAATTTAGAGACAGATTTATTATTAAAATACTTGCTTAGTTTAATTTAAGCTTTTTAAAATACAAGTTTGTATAAAAATATTTTGACCTCAAAGTTCGGTAATACCTAAGATTACATAAATAAACACAATTGTAATTTGAATAAGTTGTTTTTTTCAAATAATTTTACCAAAACCCATAAAATTCATAAAATAGGGGCAAGACGATTCCTAGGATCGTCTTGTCCACACCCCGAGGATCATCTTGGATACCGGGGTGTCCAAGATGATGCTTTCGCAAAGATTTAAAAATAGTGAAATATAACAATGAAAACTTGTTTTATTGTTTGTTTTGATTTTGTAAACCGGTAGTTCGATAAAACTGCAATCATAAACTGCTTTTACATCTATTTTAAATTAAATATTATTGAAATTACAAGCATTCTCCCTTAGGGGAATCATCTCGTACACCTTTCCCCTACTTTAACTTTAGAAAACATTTATGTATTAATGAATATTTCAGAAATCGTGACTTATTGTAATAATAATAAAATTGTTTTTGTTCTAAGGGTACCTCTCTCTGGTCAATTCACAAAATTATGAATTATACAATAATATAACTTACAATTTATGTAATTATTGATATTTATGCTACTATAATCCCATCTTCTAAATGTTTAGCCATTAATAGAGATACCTAGATCTTATTATAGCAAACTAGATAACTTAAGTAATTGTAAGTCAATACGTAGCCTAAATTATATATGTAATAATCTAGATTCTTGTTTGAGAACTCTTTTATGCGAATCTGATATAATATCGAAAACATTAGAATCCGTACCTGTTAACTGTAAAACAATTCATTCAAGACCAATCAGATATTTGGCAACCATTGTCCAATAATTTATATGGGTATTCGTTATTTCAAACCCATCTAAAATATCCATACTCAAAATCTCACTAGGTACTACTGAACGGGTCATATCAGGCACACCGCACAGGTATACTTCATATTGTAAAACATTTTATAAACACTCAAGGTTAATTAATACCCAAATATATAAAAACTTTAAAATTTCATACAATAAATACCAATTTTAATCTAATAAATGACTCTTGCTGTAACTCTAAATCATTGTTAAAACTAAGACCTCAAATTCCTTTTGTAAATCTTAGCAAATAACCTTGACTCTATAACGACACAAAATTTAGAAACTACTTACTTGAATTGTAAATAATTTAGAAAAAAATATTGAGAAACCTCACATTATTCTGAACGGCGAATATTAATCCTACACAACGATAGTTATTAGCATTATTATTATAATTTCTTTAGACGAAACATTTGGCTCAGTTTGTAGTGACTCTACTTGCTGTGCCAGCGGTCGCGGGTTCGAGTCCCGCGGGGGCAGTCATGGGTGTATATATTTCCCCCCCAACATGCGTTCACCTTGTCGTGGTGGGGGGGCTCAGTAGTACCCTGCAACCGGGCGCGAAGCCAAGAAACGCACAGGTAGGTGGCCCACTTCGGTGGGCGGTGGGAGGTGGCCCTCTTCGGAGGGCAGTGTACCAAGCGGGTTGCTCCTGGTATTTCTCTGATAGCAGAGTGGACTTTGGAGGAACCCCATGGTTGTTGTGGTCTGCTTCGGCAGACCTGCCGTCGCGTCGGGGCGTCGTAGTTGAATGCGTTGCGATCCTGTGATGCCCCATTAAGACGGGGGAAGGTTTTGTTGGGTTTTAGTGGGTAGTACTGGATTTGCCGGTGAGTCCCACCCTCGTGCGTAAATGCATTTCCCAACGTTAAAAAAAAATGGGTGTTTATATTTATAATATGTATGTATTTAAAGTTATATTACACAAGCATAACACAAGCTTCGTAGCTTACCATGGAACTATAGATGGTGCTGTGTGTTAATGTCCCAACAACAGCAACAACATATAATGTCTGTATAATTTCATTTAAATATATCAAATCGGGCAAATGTCACCATTTATTTAGTAAAAATAATTCTAAATTTTATATTAAAGAAGCGAAAGAGCTTACAGAAGTTGCTACTAATTCCGCCGACATTCCATCACCCAAAATCCGCACAACCATCACATAAACTTAACCCCTTAAGGGTAAGTTTAGTCAAAACCCTGGGGGCTGTTATATATATGTAATGTATATAATAGCGCCTAGTATAACTCGCGTCATCTAAAAAGAACGCTGGAAGAAAGTGGAGAGGGTATGTTTGCGCATGGGTATACTCACGCACAAAAGTACTAAGCCTATTATTTTATTTTTCATAGCATTTCGCGGCTTCATATATTAGTTATTGATAGGGACATTGAAAAATATATTAGATATAATATCATTAAATAGAATTCTATTCATTATTAAAATATGTTTGATTCAGTGTAGAATGTTTAATCTACTTACAAAAAATAAAATTAATACGTTTAATACATTTTTTTAAATTATTAACTGCATTATTATCAGACTCTCTCTTTGTAAAACAATATACGTCAAAAATATTTTTTCTCTTTTCTATATATTAAACCATTTCGTAATTAAAAACTTTTGTGTGCGCGATGGTATTTCGAACTGACGAACCAATAGCGCACCGGCAAGCACGCGGCGCGTGCCCCGCCGCCCCGCTTCTTACCACCAATTTGACCGACAAATCGCTTCTGCGCAGCTCGACAGCCAGCGTTCTTTTTAGATGACGCGAGTTATAGCCCTAACCCTTTTCCTTGGTCAGCACTATTGATGGTTCATAATTAGTACAGTACGTTTTATTTTTTTGAGCGGAACCCTAATGCTTTTTCTAAAATAATAGTAGCCTATGTTACGCCCTATAACATCAGCTATCTTCCAGTGAAGTCCCGATATAATCAGTCCAGCAGTTTCAGAGATTATTCGGAACAAACAGACAGACACTTTCTGTCTCGAAAATTTAAAAAAATGTGTTTTTCTTATAAGTACCATATATAATTTTATATGCATTAAGTAAAACGCTGTTTTTTTTAAATTACAAACAGACACTTCAATATTATTTATCTGTATAGATTAATTATCGCTCAGTTCAATTCCAACATCCGCGCGTGACACTCGCCTTAATAAAATCGGGTCCAACCTTTTAAATAAAAATGTTTTTTTTTAATGTAATTCCAAGTTATTTTCTTTTTTTTTAAACCATTTGGTGAAAAGTGTCTTAACAGAATGCAATTATTTCGTAATTGCCTCGGTGCTCCCTTAACCTAAGACCTCACTTTTCTAAAAGAAACAATTTACTAAAACTTGAACTTTGATCCCGTTTAGGTATTCAACGCGGTACACAAGGCCGACATATATTTATATTAATATTATGTGCAACTTGTGATTTAGGTCAAAGGAAATTTTAATTAACACATATTTCAATATTAATCAAACACTTGATATGATTTAATATACTTTATTTGATAGCTAGTCTTAAAATACAGTATTTGGTAAACGAAAATTAAATTATTAAACTATTTATGGAAAAAATAAAAGCTTTCCAATGATAACATCTCTCATGGGGTTGCATTATTTATAAAATAATGTAAATTATAAATTTCATTTATAAATTAAATCGAAATCTATAAGTATGTGACCTTGTTACGTTTTTGAAAAACTTTATTACTTTATTTAACGGCTGGTAAAGTTCTCTCTATAAACGCTCTCATATCTTTTAGTTCATTTTCCGAGGAGCTGTGTGTCAAACCTTGGTATGTATTGAATTCAATGTTTTTCATGAACGTCTTCAAGAACGATGCTGTCATTTGTCCCCATTTAAATGGCACAACTGGATCACAATCTCCATGCGCTTGGAATATCTGCAGCAAACGAAACAACATATGAGACAGACATTAAAAAAAAATTTCATTACATTCATGGAAAGAAAGTTTATAAAAAGATGTCTTGGCCATGTACAAGCCAGACTCACGCACCGAGGGTTTTATAATACATACCACATACCATGTTTATGTTAATTGCGTATTTGCTAATAGCATAAGAATATAATATTATTGAATAGTTTTACAATAGATTCAGAACTCGAAGCTGTCGGGAGTAAGCCGGTAAAACCAATACAATACCTAAGTATTCTTTTCTATACAGATAAATAAAATTGAAGTGTCTGTTTGTAATGTCCAAATAACAGCGTTTTACTAAATACATATGAAATTATTTATTTATAACAAAAACTATTTTTTTTAAATTTGTCTGTCTTTCTGTTTCGGATAATCCTGAAACGGCTGGACTGATTTTGATGCGACTTTCACTGGAAGATAGCTGATGTTATAAGGAGTAACATAGACTACTTTTTTTTTAGAAAAAGAATTAAAATAAAAAAGTAAAAGAGGTTCTGCTCAAAAAAATTAAAACGTCTATATGGACGAATCGACGAGGGTGAGTCGCTAGTTGTCCATACAAACATTTGTTTGGAGTAGTTAAGAGACCTAGTTAGAGTAAAATATTGGTGCTATCACATATGAAACGTTGTGCCAATTTATGTCGATATTTTAATAATATATAATAATACCATATAAGATTCGTATACGCTGTGTTCGCACTATTAACTCTTCGTCATAGAAAAACGATATAAATACATTTAAATTAAGTACGTACACACAATACTGTCTCTATTATATAAGCGAAAGGATCTTAAGCATACATACATAAATTTATGTATGTATGACAGTATTAGTTAGCTTTACTTAAGGAAATCAATGCCCTCTCTTTTGTTATGTAAATATAATGATGAATGAAATTGCATTCAATTAGCATAGGACAATAACTCTTCAAATATGCAAAAGTGACTGCTTATAAAATACTTTACATTAATATTTATTACAGAACATTTAATTAACACGTTATCTATAATATTTTTGCACGTTTTACACGTTAGCATATAATAAAACAGTAACTTTGCGAAATTTGTACATGAAACATCCAAATTTCAATAGGGAAGATGACTGGGTACTACCATCGTCATGGGATCCTATTATTAATATGATAAAATCAAATAATACATCTAAACATAACAGACAGGCAGATGTAGTAAGTTCTAACTGTGTGGATCAAAATGACAGCATATCAGATTAATAAATATTTTTTATTTTTCATTTGTAAAAGTATATAATAATAGTGTTGCTTAGTAATTTGTCTTTTAAATAATAGCAAACTAAATTAAAATTATTATCCTTAATTAATTTTAACTTTTTTAAATTACACATAGAACAATTATATGGCTTAAATAATTAATAGGGTTGGGGGGTAAATGTTACTCGCGTCCGTAAGAACTACCACCTTTCCTAGGCCCACCCTACACGTGCCCCCTGGGTGGTGCTAAATGAGTAACAACGCCGAGCCACAGGCGGCGGTTAAATAACCTGTTCTTGAGCTTCCACTAGCCAAGAGGCATTAAATCCCCTCTAAAAGCGTGGACATGATGCCTTGGGAAAGCACCATGTTTACTCTCCCAACCCCCCCTTTTTATGAAATATGGAAAATAATGAGATTGTGATGTCATGCGATCCGGCTAACCCCCGGCGCTTGCAGGTATCCGGGCCCGCAAGTGTGAAATCTGTTACCGAAGACCGCACAGGGGTGGGCGACCAGACCCCTGTTCCGGTAAATGCGTCTGGCAGCAGCAGCAGTAGCAGTAGTAGCAGCAGCAACAAGAAACTTGTCCAACAGGCCTTCCATCCCGCCCTGTTCATGAGAACAAGATCTTCCTCCCTAGGGAGCATCCAACAACCCGGGGTAATCCCGGCAGACCTGGCCCAATTTCCCCCTGAGTGGCAACGAGTGCCGACAAACAAAAAACGTAAAATACGCGAGCAGTCTCCACCTTTGCCTCCACCTACGCAAACAGGGAATAAATTCGATGGCCTTCCTCTGGACCCAGACGACGACTCAAGCCCCTCTGGTGATCGTCAAAACAAACCACCTCCCATAGTTTTATATGGAATAGAGGATGTTAACGAGCTCACTAAATTAGTTGAATCAGTTATCTCCACGACTGAATTTAAATTCAAGATCGTCAATAAGAATCTTCTGCGCTTGATGGTGAACTCAACAGACAACTATAAAAAAGTAATCAACCTAATACGGCAGAAAGGCCTCATAGGACACACCTTTACTAGAAAAGAAAATAAGCCCTATAGAATCGTCATCAAAAATCTTCACCACACAACGCCCCTTGAAGCAATAGTGGAAGAAATAGAAAAAACTGGTAACAAAATTCGCGGTGAGATTATAAATGCTCGTTTTGGAATTGACAAAAAACCTTCGTATACATTTTTCGTAAACCTGGAACCTAACGCTAGCAACAAATGCGTTAAAGATATTCAATACATCTTTCACCAACGGGTTAAAATTGAAGACCCCCATAAATCTAAATCCATAGTTCAGTGTCATCGGTGTCAACAGTACGGTCACTCAAAAAATAACTGTATGCGTCCTTACAGCTGTGTCAAATGTGGAGAAGGGCACAGCACATCAGAGTGCCCCAAGAAAGACAGGAACACCCCAGCAAAATGTGCTCTCTGTGACAGCGACCATCCTGCCAACTACAAGGGCTGCCAGGTCTACAAAGAAATCCTAGCCAGGAAAACCAAGCGAAGAAGCCCTATTCTAACAAACGCCTTGAGTCACTCTAGCAAACCTGGGGCTGCAGAAATCCTTGATGACCCATTACCGAAGACCTCACTCAACATAGCAAATGCTACAACTTACACAACCATCACCAAGACCTCTAAAAACCATATCGAACTAAGGAACCAAAGTGATTACAGTCGCAGCCAACAAAACACTACAAGTGTTAGTAACCCCACCCAACAAAATATCAAAAGTGATATAAATCACAGTCAACAATCTACTTCAGTAGAAGAGATATTAATCAGGCAATCAGAAAAGATAGATCAGCTCTTGCAACAAATCAACACATTGCTTGGTCTGCTCACTGCCATCATCCCTAAGCTAATGAAGTAAACAATGGCGTCGCTTAGGATTGCAACTTGGAACATTAATGGACTATCATCTAGCATTAATGAACTTGAAGCTTTGATTATTTCCAACAAACTGGATGTGGTGTTGATCTCTGAGTCACATGCTACTACCAAAAGTTCCTTCCGCCTCAAAGGATTTCAAATTTATTATACCCCCCATCCTGATGGAGGCGCTCACGCAGGGTCTGCACTGGTGATCAAATCAAGCTTGAAACATTGCCTTCTCTAAGCCTTCTCTACTAACCATCTACAGGCTACCAGTGTACGACTGGAAGACCGCGCAGGACCTATCATTCTCTCGGCGATCTATTGCCCGCCTAAATATAACATAACGGACAACATGTTCTTGGAATACTTTGAAACCCTGGGCAACAGATTTATATCCGATGGAGACTGGAATGCTAAGCACACGCTTTGGGGCTCTAGACTATCTACCACAAGGAGTAGACAGTTAAAAAATTGTATCGACAGACATCATTATCATTCTCTTTCATCCGGAGAACCAACTTACTGGCCTTCAGACCCAAATAAAGTGCCAGACCTGTTGGACTTCTTTGTGACCAAAGGGCTAAGCCAACTCTTCACTAATGTTAAATCCTGTCTGGATGGTTCATCGGACCATACTCCAGTGTTGCTAACTTTGGCCTCGACCATAATGAGCCGTGAAGGACCTTTAGTACTACACAATAGGAAAACTGACTGGGACGGCTTCCGCTCATACCTTGATGACCATATTAACATGCGTATTCCATTGAAAACAACCGAGGATGTAGAGGAAGCTTGCAAACACATCACAAACACCATTCAGGTAGCAGCATGGGTAAACACCCCCCAACAAACATAGCCACAAATTTCATAATAACTCAGCCCAAGGAAATTCGAAATAAAATAGCTCAGAAGCGGCGACTGAGGCGTATCTGGCAGCAATCACGGCATCAGTCAGACAGAACCATACTTAACAAAGCAATAAAAGATCTAAAGTCAGCTCTTGAGGAACATACAAACACAAACCTAAGAACAACCCTTGAACTAATGTCACCCTCCGAATGCGGAGAGTATTCGTTGTGGAAGGCCACTAAACACCTAAACATACCCCAGCAGTCGTGCTATCCTATAAGAAGCCAGTCATCCTGGGCGCGCACCGATGCAGAGAAATCCGAGGCTTTTGCTAAACACCTAGCCGAAGTATTTAAACCAAACGAGGGTAATGAGCAAGAGACAGATTTGGATTTCATACTTAAACAAGATATCCAAATGTGTTTACCCGTCAAGCCGGTATCGCCCAGAGAAATCGTGAGAGAAATTAAATCACTCAATTCCAAGAAGTCGCCGGGTTTTGACCTAATCACTACCAGGATCCTGAAAGAGCTGCCAAAAAAATGTGTTACGTTTTTGACCAGCTTGTTTAATGCCACCTATCGAATCTCCTATTTCCCAAATTTGTGGAAGGTCTCAGAGATCGCAAACCGCCACACGAGTGCTCTTCTTACCGGCCGATAAGTCTCACTCCGACCCTATCAAAGCTATGGGAAAGGATCTTTCTCAAAAGACTGAGCGAGCTAATGAACACCCACGAAATTGTCCCCAACCACCAATTTGGATTCCGCAAGGCACACTCGACCACCGAACAAGTTCATCGCGCATACTATCAGACAATGTTTCGAGACTAAAAAATACTCCTCTGCCGCATTCTTGGATGTACAGCAGGCCCTCGATCAGGTCTGGCACAAAGGACTGCTTTGTAAAATTAAGGAGAGATTACCACACTCAGTGTTCCACATCCTAGAGTCCTATCTTGCTGATAGATTGTTTCAAGTCAGAGT